TGATTCACCAGTCTTGAGATTTAATGCCTGCCCTGCTGGGTTTTGGACTTGTTTGGGGCCTGTTTTTTCTTTCTTTCGGCCTATTCCTCCCTTTTGGAATGGGAATGTGTACCCAATGTCTGTTCCACCATTGTATCTTGGCAGTAGATAAATTTGCTTTTGACTTTTACAGGTTCACAGCTGGAAGGACTTTTGCTTTTGGTCTCAGAAGAGACTTTGGACTTTGGACTTTTAAGTTGGTGCTGGAACAAGCTAAGACTTTTGGGACTGTTGGCATAGAATGATTGTATTTTGTATGTGAGAGGAACATGAGTTTTGGGGGGCCAGGGGCGCAATGATGGCGTTTGGATGTGTTGTCCCCTCCAAAACTCATGTGGAAATTTGATCCCCAATGTGGCAGTGTTGGAAACTGATTGAGTCATGGGGGTGGATCCCTCATGAATGGATTAATGCTCTCCCTGGGGGAAGGGGGATTAATGATTGAGTTCTCACTCTATTAGTTCCCGTGAGAGCTCGTTGCTTAAAAAGACCCTGGCACCTCCTCTCTCACTCTTGCTTCCTCTCGCCATGTGATCTGCTTGTACCCACCGGCTGCCTGCCACTTTCTACCATGAGTAGAAGCAGCCTGAGGCCCGAGCCAGATGCAGCTCTCCCAGAATCGTAAGCCAAATAAACCGCTTTTCCTTATAAATTACCCAGTCTCGGGTATTTCTGTTATAGCAACACAAACGGACTAAAACACTAAGAAACCCCAATTTTATCCAGGTTGGCAAGTGTCCAGTACTAAGTAATGGACCAATCTTGACCTCATTTCCTGACTTCTCAGCCTCTTTGCACCTAGGGACAGCCATAGCTGACCCAAGTTTGGTCAATGAGAAATAAATGGAAGTCTGTTGGGGGTTCTGGGAAGATATTTGCTTACCTGATGAAGGGGAAAGGTGTAGCTGGTGCCAATAGTGATGTGATATCTGAAGAATATTTGAAGAATTTGAATAGTGATGTGATAATATCTGAAGAAAATGCAGATATCTTGCAATGCTGGGGCCATAAGCATGAGGACAGAAGCCAACATGTTGAGGATGGTGATGGGAGGGTC